ACACGCGTAAGTTGGGGAGTTGTTCGCTGATCCTTGGCGAGGTCACTGATGTGCACCTTTGGTTAAATTGGTGCAGTTGGCGTAAATTGGTGCGCGGACCAACTCCTGCACGTAAGTCGAGACGTGCTGCAGGAAAAATAGTCTGCCTACTTAAAAGTAAGAAGTAGTTTTTTAGTTATAAAAAATGATTGGCCTCACTAATCCTGCCTGCCGCAGTCAATTCCGGCTGTCCTACCAGGCCGATTAATTTCAAGGCTGAGAGGATACTCCTATATGTAGGACGCACCCATAAAGGCAGGCCAGCAAGAGAGTAAGACACCTCATTATTTCTGTCCAGGGATGTTAGGTTGCGTGAGACCCCGGGTTAAACCTATAATGTAGATGACCTATTGTCATCAAACAAAGTAAATTAAAAGGAGGTAGTTCAAAACATATGTGTTAAGATGACATGGTATATGTATCTTGGCGGTGCGTTATGGAGAACATCGCATTTCACGAAGGACACGATAAATGAACTGAAAAAAATACAGCTTTCTGAAGAGATCTTATGGCAGCAGAAACCACATGCGGGGAGGAAGACGGGCGAGTGGACAAGGTAATTTTGACACTGACGTATAAAAACTAACAGTGAAACCGTCTCCATAAGAGTTGTGCATTTTATGTAAAGATTCTTGCATATTTTAGTTGCGAAAATTCCCATCAGACAATTCAGAAAACTAGTTAGGTGAGCGTAAGTATACTTTCGGTCAATTCTCGTCAGGTCAGAGAATTTATATGGGAAAAGGATAAAAGTTAAATCGTGTTCGTCTTTTCATGCAAGTGAGCCGTGGGAATAGGCGGTGGAGGGGAGTCGGATCGACAAGAGAAGGCTGCTTATCAGGGCAGGGTTTGGTGGCGCAGTTTGGAGAGGGAGGGGTTGGGAGGGAGACAAATTACTTGTTCCTCGGTCTCAGTGAAGGAAGGCATTTGTGTCAAAATAAATTGATGGCGCTCTCAAAATAAAGCGTTATTCGAGGGATCTCTCTCTCAAGAAATGTGCGAGCTGTCTGAAACACACATGATATTCGAAATTACAATGAGGGGAA